TTTCCAAATATTCGTAAATGAGTAGGGTTTCCAAATGTCCCAAAATTGACTAAATCTAAATAATTGTGGTACATAACAAACAATTGTATTTAGCATCACCAATTAGAAAATAATCAGAAAGAGGTTTGTAAATCAGATAATAATATCATAAGCAATTAGGGAAACGCGAAAATGGAAACGAAGTGATGTGAAGCTAACCTTATGAAAAAAGCAGTACTTATTTGCTCTAGGTCCACTAAATGAACATTATCAAGAATAGTCGAAGGTATGAAGACCAAGATAGTGCGGCCTTTTGTATGGTCGCCGTCTCCTTTCGTTGTATAAAAGTTTTTTACCATGTTTTTGCAACTTGGTCATATTGGGAGGAAGACCTAGAGGAACGCACCTACTCCGGAGTTCATAGTATGCACGATACAAGAGACTAGGGCATAGGAAATCATAAAACTTGGCACTATGGATAGACGCACGAAGATGCTGCAGAGACTAGAGCTAGTTGGCCAACAGTAGACGTGTTTGATCATAGAGGTGTTCCATGAAGCAAAGGCTCTACCATGTGAATTATTCGGGGTCTTGAGCCTCAAGTTAGTCTTCCAGAGACAGTGTGGGAAATAACGCCTCGAGTAGCCCAGATAGGGTGGCAGGGGCCGAGTGAAATACTTGAACCCGGGAGATAGCAGACGGATCCTACGGGGCAAGGAGACTCTGATATGACCTATCGGGAGAAAATTGTATAATAATATGGCAGACTGATCAACATTCCCAGCACAAGGGTGAGGTGGGTCAAAAAGCAAGCGCGGAGTATGAAGAGTTCTCATGAAATCCACTCAAAAGGGCACATCATACCAAAGAAGAAATTGTGATAGTGAATGAGTGGTACGAGGATATAGGATTGATGAATATCCCAGGGCAGGAGATATGACAATTGTTTAGCAGATAAGTGGTCAGAGAATCGGCTTCAATTGCCTCTTTGACGAGCTGTAATGCGGCGCTAAGAATGACAAGGCTCACTGACTATGCCAGCGAAACGTCTTGGAAGGTACCACGTTCCCCTCTCTCTAATTCTATCAGACAGCCACAAGTAGTTTCCATTTAACTTCCTTTACTATCTATAATAACAAGCCTATTACTTCCTATGCCCTAGTCTCTTGTGTGCCAACTCACCAACGTTGTGGTTCAACATTGAATCTAACCAAAACAAGCAGTACCACAACGTTTGTGGGTTGGCACACAAGAGACTAGGACATAGAATGTCATAGACTTGGTATTAGGGATAGAAACAGGATAGACACGGCGGGGACCGAAGCTAGTTGGCTGATGGTAGGTCGGTTGTACCAGAGACGTGGTCCATATAGAAAAGGGATGATGATGGCACTCAGAGGCTTGAGCCTAGAATTAGTCACCCGGACGCGGGTGAGGGCGAATATCGCTTCGAGTAGGACAGATGTGGTGAAAGTCGAGTGAAATTGGTGAGCAAGGGGTAGAGTAAACGGATTTTACGGAGCAAGAGAGAGACTGGGATAAGACTAGGAAAGAGGACTGCATAATAATAAAGCAGACTCTGATCAATATTCCATGCACAAGGATAAAGGGGGGGTGAGAACGAGAGCTGGAGTGTGAAGATGTCATGTCGCTCGAAGGAGCACACCACACTATCTAAATAAACACGGTTAAAATTGTAATAGTGAAGGCATGATAAGATGCAACCGGAAATGCGAATAACCCAGGGCAGAAGGGGAGATACCACAATTGTTTAGCACAAGTCTAGTCAAAGGATCGGCTTGTTGTGTGGTGCCAAGAATGGCGATACTCACTGACGATGCCGACTACGATGCCGGCGAAACGTTTAGAAATGTACCACATCTACGGTTCAACTTTGGAAATGATCATGCAGGCAATGGACCCCGGACTAGTTGCGTTCCAACAAGTCTTCCTACCAATATGACCATGTTGTGAAAACAAGGTCAAACAAGCCCTGACTAAATGTTTGCTGAAAAAATAAGTTAAGTGGCTGAGGATGAATCGTAAAGCTGATGCAATTGTGACCGAAAGCTGTATCCTCCCCTAAAGCACGTAGACCTTTAATCCTGCAGTGTTACCGCATACGATTACGTTCCATTGCATATGCGTGTAAAGCATTGTTCTTGAAATGAATGTGATGTGAGTCAAAACCAGATTCGAGCCCAATCAAGCCTCCTCTTCTTACTCCATAGTAATTCCCGTTCCCCTCTCTCTAATTCTATCAAACAGCCACAATTAGTTTCCATTTAACTTCCTACTGGTATAGTCCATATAACCAGCTAAACATTTGGCATTAGACCAGTCTATCTCTTGTCCTGTGCGAGCCATGTGCACGGTCAATTCCAATTTTGGGCCCACAGACCCAGCGACCACCTTTCTTGTCTTCGCATTTGGTGAATTATCGTTGAGCATGATGCCCTTCTCTGACGACAATGGACAAAAGCTCAAGAAGCATTCATCGGAGTCGCAAGGCGGTGCGCTGAAGACCTATTCGAACAAATCTATAGCCACGGCTCCAAGACAATCCCCCTACAGCATTTGATGAGGCCAAGTTACGAATCCGTTCCACTCGCCTCTTCAAACAAAGTGAAAGGTACTCCAACATCAATCTATTAAGAAAATATTCTAAACCCAATTTTTCTACACAAATATTCGTGTTATAACAAAGAAAAAACTTTCTGAAGACGCTAAGGAAAAAATACATTATTGTGGTCCAGGAGAAACAAATCATCCCAAGTAGCAGGTTTCTTAAAAAGCTTTATCCACATTGATTAGCTTGGTCTGA